ACATAGGGACATACAGAAACACAGACAGGTACAGACATAGGGACATACAGAAACACAGACAGGTACAGACATAGGGACATACAGAAACACAGACAGGTACAGACATGGGGACACGTTCACACATTCTGACATTCCATATTCCTTGTTGGGCAGGGCATCTTTAACCCCTGCTGCTGTTACTGTTTGCGTGTGTGTGTGTGCATGCGTGTGTGTTTCCAGGCTCCTGGCCCAGCTGCGTGACATGGAGATGGTGTTCGATGGCTTCTTTGACAAACACCACCTGAAGCTACACCAGTACCTGCAGCTGCTGAGATACGAACAGAGCTTCCAGGAGGTGCAGTGTGTCTGCAGTTACAGTAGCGTCAGCTCCATAGTAGGAGGAGCCTCAGTGACTACATCTGCAGCTAGGATGGGGGCAGAGGTGTAGAGTTCAGGTCCAGAGAGTACAAATCCAGGCCAAGATTTTGTTTCAACCAACCAGTTGAGTATAAAGAGTCACAGTCACAGAGTACTCAACTTGTTGGTTGAAACAAAATCTTGGTTTGGATTTGACCTGAAATCTCCACCTCTGGATGGGGGGTAGTGTTAGCGTTAGCTTGCTAATTATTAGCATGGGACATAGAGCTTGCTTATAATCTTACTGCCAGTGAACACATCCAGTTACTAAACCTGATTACACTAACTTCACACCTGTAGCTGAAGGTGATTCCCTGCCCACCTGCACACTGCTGCTGACTGCGCAGATTTATGTTTGATGTATGTGCAGAATAGGTATTCCCTGGACAAGCTGTCTGCGCAGGAGCAGGCTCTGTCCGGCACGGCGGATACACTGCCCAAGACGGAGGAGCTCATCAGAGCCCTGGACACTTTGGAGTCTCAAGCACAGGTCAGTTTCCACCCTGGCCGGGCGAACTGGCTGCTGTATTGTTGTAATACATCACGTAAGGGCCAGGGGGCAGTGTTTGGGCCTGATCCCAGCCATTCTTCCAGGATGAGATGAGTCGGATCCAGGTCACTATCCTTCATGGGCACCAGCTGGTTGCCAGTCATCATTATGCTCTGGAGCTCATTGTCCAGCACTGCAAAGAGCTACGGCACCGCTGTGACAGGCTGAGCGCCGCCCTGCTGACCAAACGGGCAAAGCTCAGCCACACCCGGGACTTACTGCTGGAGCTGGAAGAGGTGCGGAGTCACACACAAATAGGCATTAAATCCACATGCTAATTACACACCTGTACACTAATATGCGTTTTTTTGCGTATATTTTCATGTAATTTCTTTAGGTTCAGAGGTTTTTATTGTCACGTGTCCTGACTGATACCTGCAGGCAAAGCTATGAAATTTTTCACTTGAAAAATGTTGCTGACATCACA